TGAGGTGGTGGCAAACCCCGCCAGACAGCACAGACCATATGAAGCTGTGGGCAGCAGCGCAGGTGAGGGGCTTTTCCAGCCTGCTGCAGCTGCTGACATGCTGGGAGGGATGGAGCAGACCTAGCTGTGGGTACTAGTCCTTCCTTCCCTTGCCTCTTCAATTTAAATTCGTGGGCATTTTTTGTTTAGAAGCATCCTAACTGAATTTGCAAGGCTGCTGTTAATAGGCAAGATGCTGAGGAACAATGTAAGGAACATTAATGAGGTGCAAAAAATGGAGAGCAGGGTATTTTTGTATAAGTATGGTAGATATGCAGGTTTTGCTTCATGTTTAAGTGTGTGTGAAAGGGGCGAGAGAGAGATTCTGGCATCTTTATCACTAACTCAGTAAAACCTGAACGATGCTAATTTAGCTTAGTAGGATAAGTATCTTTATTCTTATCTTTTTTATTGAGATCTGTGGCAACAGTAGCTAGATGCAGGCATTCTTTTTTGCTCATCAAGGCATGGTCTAGCTTCAGGAGAGAGGACAATTCCTCATTTTCTTAAATTTACCTTGTCCTTGATGTAAAGTTGGAGTGTTGTAACCTCTCTTGTTCTTAAAGATCTCTGTCCTAAATCTAGAGGTTTGTTGAATAGCCATATGATGGATATTATTGCTCATCATCTTCCTATTCCAGAATGTGAATTTTTTCTCAGTGCTTTATCTTTCACTAAATATTTTTAAGAAGACTTATTATGTTGTTTTCTTCAATATGGGAGCCTCCTTTAGCCTGGCACCTCCAATGCGATGTCTGATAACTAGGGGTCTACTTAAATTGCAGTGAGACAACGCAATTTTCAAGGCTTGGTTGTGGCACAAAGCCAAATGCATGGGCATTTCCCGGTGACCCTGCCCTTCACCACTGATTGGCAGAGTCATACCATATAATTTAACAGCAGATTCTGTAAAAAGTAAATTATATCATATAATTTATCATATTGTTACAAATCTAAATATGACATCTAAATTTGAATATATTATAAATGTAAAATTATATACAATATGCCTGTATAATTGAAGGTTATATCATCAGTTTATCTGTCCAGAGTAAGAGATGGTATATGTTGGAGATGCTTATATGCCCCAAGTGCAGCCTGGAAGAAAGTCCAAGGGCCTCAACCTATTTTCTTGCTGTTCTGTTGAAGGAATATACTGAGACAAGTCTACAGCCAACATGGCATATACTGCCTAAGATGGTTGTAGTTATGCCACTGGATAGGGATATAAATAGGGATATAAATATCATTTAAAAAAAAAAATCCATTTAACCTCTTCTAATTATATCGGCGAAACCATTAACTGATAACATATACTTAGTCCTGGCCTGAGGGTGGTGGAGTGCAGAGCCTCAGAGCTGGCACCTACCCTGCCACAGGAGAGGGGCCGCAGCCACCTGCCTGGAGCAGAGCGGGGAGCTGAGGACCATGCACAGACCTGCTTGGACACAGTTGCTTCTGGGAACCACTCCTCGGGGCCTTTGACGGGGGGCAGGGAGATGAGGTAGTGGCAAGCCCTGCCAGATGACACAGCCCATGTGAAGCTGTGAGCAGGTGAGGGGCTTTTCCAGCCTGCTGTAGTTGCTTGACACACTGGGAGGGATGGAGCAGACTAGCTATGGGTACTAGTCCCTCCTTACCTTGGCTCTCTCCCTCCCCTTCTTGTTCCTCCTCCCTCCTACACTTCTTATTTAAACATTTAACCTTTCACATCCCTACTGTATAGAGGATCAGATCCTATAGGATCATAACCTAACTATGTATTGTCCTGCCCATATGCATGTAGCTAAGTGCCAGCATCACTGGTATGCCACAATAGTTCAAGACAGTAAGGGGAGGGTGCTTTATGCCTCTACTCACTTGCATTAGCATGCTGGATGGGATACATGCATGTTCAGTTTTACAGTTTGTTTATTCCTCTTGAACTTCATGGTGGAAGCTCATGTGACAAATTATTTCCATACATACAACCCTTTAATGTCAACTTCAAAAGCATGTAAGCACTTGTCCCATTGTGAAAATTATTTAAAAGTTTAGTTTTTCCATTAGACTTTTTTATCAAAATTCTGAATTGTCTTATGCCCCCTCCCCTTACTTTTAGTGAAAAGTAACTCCCTCCCTTCAGGTAGACCTCCATAGAATTTTTGCTTGGTTACTTCAGCCAATTGCAGTTTATGAAATCTCTTGTGCAGACTCGTCAAAGAGGGTAATTTGGCAAGAAATGACTGTAAATGCTGTCACTTTCCATCACTTCAAGACCAGTAAAATTTAAAAACATCCCAAGTGGAATGTAATAACCTAGGAAAAATACTGTGTGTTGCTTTTAGGGACTTGATCATTAGATCAGGCTTTTATTTTAATGTAAAGTATATTACACTTCCCTTAAGTATTTCCAAATAGAGTAGTGCAATGGAAGACAAGATTGTATTTTCAAAAGCATAAGTTTTTGTGCATGTTAAAAGATACCAAAATATGTTACTTTAATGTCATCTGAAGAGGTGATGAACCTTATGAATTGTGGTATTTCACAATAAATTGATGTTGTATATGAACTTAATGATGAGTTACTTTGGAAGCTTCTGGGCCAGAGGAAAAAAAAATAGGCTTAGTCCTGGAAGGTGTGCAGAAATAACGTGGTGATGGGTAACACTATAAAGATTTGGAAATAGAGGGTAAAACTGTAATAATCAGAACAGAGCAGAGCTACTATTAAGTTGCATCTACAACTGCGTATTAGGGGTGCACCAATAAAGATTTTTATGGCCAATACCTATGGGCAGTTATTAACCAGCCCTATCAGCCAATATTGATCTGATAACCGATATGCAGCCTGGCAGCTTGGAGACCAGTGCCTGGATGCTAAGTCTATTGGGGGGGGGAAGGGCGGGGCAGATAGCAGCCCCCACAGTGAGGGAGGGAATGGGGCTGGGGCAGGGGCAGGCACTGCCCAGCTAGGGTAGGGTGGGGCACAGTACAGATCCATGAGTGGCTTGTGTATGAGGGCAGCTCTCTGCCCCTGCACGTGCCCCTAGGGCAGGCATGGGTGGCATGTCCCCCCGGATTTGTGCGCGGGCCAAGGGTGGGCTCGGGGCCAGGGGCTGTTGGCCTTTCCGGGGGGGGTAGGCCAGGGTTGCGCTTGGAGTGGGAAGGGCAGGGCAGGTGGTGGCGGTGCTGAGAGGGGCCTATGGTGAATTTTGGGGTGGCTATAGTTCCCTCCCAGCTCTGCTGCCACCTGCCCCACCCCTGCGTGCCCCAAGTGCAGCCCTGGCCCAGCACCCTGCTGGAAAAAGGTCAATGCAGCCCCTGGCCTCGCCTGTAGTGGGCTGCCCACCCTTGCCCAATGCACAAATCCAGGGGCACTTGCCTCCCCCGGGGGTATGCTCAGTGGCGGGGAGCTGCCCCTGGATGAAGTTTAGAGCCATGGCCTGGTAAAGGTTGGAAACTGTTGTTCTAGCAGGACTGTTGTATTGTTAAGGAGTAGATAGTACACAGAAACACCCCCCCCCCCCACACACACACACACACCCCTTCCTTACCCACAAACTTACTGGCTGGACGCTGCTCTCCAAGGTGGCGGACTGCATCCCTGGCTACATGCATGCTGTGGCTGCGCGTGTGAACGTGGCATTTATCAGTGACATTATTGGCTACATTGGCCAAAAACAGCTGGGAAAGTCAATTTTCCTTTTATTGGTGCCGATCCGATATGGACCTATATTATCAGTGCACCTCTGCTGCATATACATAATGAAACAGAGTTCATTTCTGTCTTGGTGTTCTCACCTGTTTCAAGTAAAGTAAGTATTAAAAGACAAAAACCAAAAACAAAAAAAACAAAACAAAAAAAGAACTCCAAACAAATGTGATATTCTTTGTCTTCACCTACACTGAAATGCATCCTGTATGCCCCACCCCAGAGCCTGATTCCACTCTTATCATAAGCAGTGATGACAAATCTGTTGATCTAACTCCTCTAAGTGAAACAGTATCAGATCAGGAGCTACCTGTGGGTGCAAGTAAGGTTAGATAACAAATGTAACATGCAGAACAAAAGTAAATCTGAAGCCACTGTATGCCATTGAACTAATTTTGAAACTGAGTAAAAATGCGGAAGGGTTTAGGGAGACGAAGTGGGTTTTTGAGGAGAAATGGATGTATGTATCATTATTAACATGTCAGTGGGGCAGTTACTAGACAGTATTTGCTCGCTTCTGTTGAAAGACTGGTATAATTTGGCACTTAGGCAGTATTTCTTGTGGCATAGGATCAGCCACCCCGTGCTCTCTGTCGTAGTTTGAAACTTTTGTTTATGCGTGGTCCAGTGGTTTATCTTTGCCCCACGGCAGTAGCCTGAGTTGTGTTCTAGGTTCAGCTGCTGATCTGATGTGTGAGCTAACAGACATTAGTTTATCTTTCCTATTATTTCTTTTGTCTCCTCTTTCTTCACCTGTAAAATTGATTTTTTTTTTTAAATGTTTGTAAATTACAGTACTACTTTTATTTAGATTCAGAGCTCATCTCAGTTTCCTGAATGATGAGGACAAGGAGTACAAGGCGTCCATACCGTGGAGCCAGTTGGGAAGAATCAGTTGTTTCTGTAGTATGTGAGTTAGCAAGCTTGGTGAGTTTGGTTGTTTAATTATTGCTGTGAGGTGTTTCAAATCAGGAAGATGTTGTTGGAAGAAGTTTTTTTTGCCTCAGAGTTGGGGAGAAGCTGCTGATTATTGGGACAGACCTTGATGTTTCAAATAGTTGTGAGAACCTATGAATTGCAGGTACCTCCAAGATTAGGCTAGTTCTTCCATCCCCATTGAACTTCGTTTTCCAGAAGTGCGAGAAGCTGAATGCCTTCAGTCTTCTCATAAATTCTTTACTACATCAGCCATTTGTACATTATCCAACAGTGTAACTGTCTGCTTTTATTTCTGTTTAGAAAATCCTTCTCTTGTTTTGATTTTTAGCTGTACATCCTTGACTCCAGGACCCAGCTGTGATCGGTTTAAGCTGCATATCCCGTATGCTGGAGAAACACTGAAATGTAAGTTAAATGGATTAATATCACCTTTTCTCCATTTCCATCTCACCCCTTTTTCATCACCTACAATGGTTGGCTTCCTATTTCCCAGTGTTTTCAACTTTGTTTAATTGCAAGTCTCATGATGATTGGTGTCATCTTAAGGTTCAGCCTCTGGAGTAATTGGAATATGTGAGCATCTCCAATTTCTAGCCTTCATGGATGCAGAGAAAATGTTGAAAACATGAACCCTAAATCCCAGAAGGCGCGCACAGATTGCAATTGCTTTGTATTGACAATACATTTTCTCTTCTAGCAAGACGGTTTCTTTTTTTTAACTATGATTCAACTAATAAAAAGTTAACGTTTCTGTGATGTAGTAGGGGAATCTAACTGGCAGCTCATGCTAGGTGGAACAGGAATTTAGTTTTACTGTTGTGCTAGTTGCAAAGGTGATTTAGTATTATGATTTTAAATCTTCCTTTCTATAAGCTGTGTCCTACAGATGCTGATATGTTTGCCCACTGTTAAAATTGTATTTAGTTCTGAGGATTTGATGCAAAAGTGTTTCCTTTCATGTTTTTAGAAGGCAAGAAATAATTTTTCTCACCTTTTGAGCTGCTATTCAATTGCACAAGAAGAATATAAGAGCTTGGGAGGAGCAGCATTTAGAACAATAATAGCTTGCTGTTCTGTCTTGGCTATAAAATGCTTATAAAAATCCGCTTTGTCTTTTCATGGTGGTAATTTTGCTTCCATAAATTTATCTGGTTTGGGAATACAGCTTTCTCATGCATTTTCATGTACTGATGAAAGGAGGTAGAACATCAATCCTTAAAATTTAACTGTGTATCATTTCTATACTGTCCGTCTCTGCCCATTTCACATTTTTGCTTTTATTTATGGCAAGTTTCGCTTGTCTGACACTCATGATACCCAATTACATTTTCAGTTGATAATTAGAGGTCAGTAACCTCAGGTGGTAGTCAAATGGCAGAAAAATAATACATATCTTGTGTAGATAACATGTTAGTTTTTGCCTTTAAAAAATTTATTACTCTGGTAGTTGTACCCAGTTAGTGTGTATTTGTGTGAGAGAGTTTAAATGCTGAGAACTTCATTGTACTTCAGTGTACATTAAAACATTTTCTCTGGTTATATGTTGCATTCAAAGCCATATACTTTTTAGGTTCAGGTGCGCTGATATATCAGTGCCATATTGGATTGGCACTGATAAAAGAAAAATTAACATTATTGGCTTTTTTCGCAAGTGTAGCCAGTAATGTCACCGATAAATATAATATGGCCCCTGGGCTCTGTGTGCATGTGCGCAGCTGCATGCATACATGTGGCCAGGAATGCAGCTGGCAGGGTGGAGAGCAGTGCCCTGCAGTAAGTCTGTGAAGGCAAAAGGGCATAGGGGAGGGAAAGGGTGTGGGGGGGGCAGGTCGAGGCCTCCAAAGTGAGGGAGGGAGTTGAGCTGGGAGTGCTGCCCAGCCAGGGCGGTGAATGGGACCCAGGGCAGGGAGCAGGAAAAAGCTGCAGGTGGCTCATCCAGGAGGCACGGGGTGGGGGTGTGGAGTGGGGACAACCCCCTGTCGCTGCATGCACCCCCCAGGGGAGTTATGGGGGGGCATGTGCCCTCCCCCCCCGCCAGATTTGTGTGCAGGGCAAATATGGGCTGCTTGCTCTGGGCTCTCCTGCCTTTGTTTCTGGGTCTCTGTGTTGGCTGCATGTCCGCTGTCCACCCGGCAGCAGTGGGAGTAGTGAGTTGTGCCTCCCGCTGCTGCTGTGTGGACAGGGGATGCACAGCCTATGGGGAGTCCTCAGGGCAAGGAGAGACTCGAGACTCGCAGAGAGCCCTGAGCCCACGGCGAGCAGCCCGCATCTGCCCTTGCCCCACTTGGCTTCTCTCTGGTTAAAAGCACCCTCATGCTTAAAAATGGTGGCGGTGCTTGAACTAAAGCTCTTTTGAAAGCTCTTTTGAATGGGCAGAGACGGACAGTACAGAAATGATACACAGTTAAATTTTAAGGATTGATGTTCTACCTCCTTTCATCAGTACATGAAAATGCATGAGAAAGCTGTATTCCCAAACCAGATAAATTTATGGAAGCAAAATTACCACCATGAAAAGACAAAGCGGATTTTTATAAGCATTTTATAGCCAAGACAGAACAGCAAGCTATTATTGTTCTAAATGCTGCTCCTCCCAAGCTCTTATATTCTTCTTGTAAGCACTGGATTACTGATACCCTGGACAAGCCACCCACTGCTCTGTCCTGCTTCCTGCCCTGGGTCCCATTCACTGCCAGGGCTGGGCAGCACCCCCAGGCCTAGCCCCTGCCCCACTCCCTTCCTTACTGTGGAGGCCTCGCACACCTCCCCTTCACAGACTTATCAGCAGGGCACTGCTCTCCATGCTGCCTGGTTGCATTCCTGTAGATTAGTTATCGGATCAGTATTGGCCGATATGGCTGGTTAATAATCAGCCATCAGTATCAGCCAAGAAAATCTTTATCAGTGCACCCCTACTTTTAGGAATGCAAACGCCACAACTAAGATTTTTGTATTACTGGAAATATTTTAATTGTAAGTTTTCACATACAGAAAATCTGCCTTTCCAGGACTGCTCCCTGAAATCTTTTATTTTTTTTCCATGTTATGATTATAGTTCAGCTAGGTTTTACCATTACTGTTGAGTTCTGAAGTGTGCATTTAATCTGCTGTCCTCAGGAGTCGTCATAAAAATGTTCATAGGTCTTTGTAGAGAGGGAAAAAGTAGAATTCCAGAGATATCCCAAAGCACATAAAAAGATGATAGATCCACGGTGTGAAAATACTCATATTTTCTAACTCATCAATATGTGATGGTACTTTTTCCATAGTGTATACAGGTGACAACTTTGCCAGGTAGCATTGCTTACTTTTGTAAGTACTGACCTCTATGTCTAGAGAAACATCAATTTCCAACTAAAGTTAAATAAAAGAATTCTTCAGTATCCAGGGTGGTAAATTCAACCCATTTGAAGTCTTGATCAGTCTATTTCCTTACACTAAGTGCCATAAACTAATGCTGAAGACCTATTTTAGCCACATCAGGTTGCACTGAAGGAGGTTTGAAGTGTGACAGCAGGACTGAGAAAGTATATTCCCACAGAGATGGTGAAAACAATCTCCCTAGTGTATTGTATTACATTACATTATGAGGACTGAAGAGTCCTGTTTTCAAATAAACACATTAAGGGAGAAAAAAGCTTGATTGTTCTTTAAATGTTGAGAGGCCAAAGTTGTTCTTGATTTATGAAGGAAACTTAAACAAAGCATGAGAAAAGTGGGATATTCAAAGAACATAGTGATTTAAATAAAGTTAGTAAGCCAAGGTTTAAGAGTGTACCTAGATCCACTCCTTCTGCTTACCTTTGTAGAGCAGGGGTGGGCAACTAGTTGAGCCAGCGGGCCACATGGGGCATGTTGATGAGCTGTCATGGGCCAGGTCAGCACTACCTCCTCCCTCCTTGCAAAATAACTCACCATAACTCCCTATATGGGATCGGACTGTGGGCAAGCAGGGAGCAGGATGTGTGGGTGAGGCTGGTGTCACGGGGCAGGGAGTACGAGGCCGGGGCATAGCTCCCATTTTGCAGGCAGGGACATGCAGGATTGGGGCCCAGAGCAGAGGTATGATCCACTACTTGCATGCCCCTGCCTTGTACGCATGTGTTGGGAGGGAAGGGGCACCTGGGCACTAGGTCCTGGGAACCAACTGGGGGTTGGGGGAGGCAGGAAGAATGTGCAGCAGAGATCACCCGGGTGGTGTGTTCTGCAGCTGCCCCCAGCGGTGCTCCACATAGGGCCAATCCCTGTCTGCTCTCACCTGGGGCAACCCGCACCATGCTCCCACCCATGCCTGCTGGCCCAGCCCCAGCCAGCATTCACAGCTTACTGATGTGGCTGCAGCTGCCCAGGTGCTGCTCAGCTCCCCCTTCCTCCAGTGGCTCCTCCTCCTGCTCCTGTCTCTGCTGTTCTCCTCTGGGTGGGGAGGAAGCTTCAGCTGGGTGGCTGCTGCCCCAGTGTGCAGGGCTCCGGGTTCAGCTTCCATTTGCCTTCTACCCACTCATCCGCCTGCAGGTGACTGGTCCTTGCGCTGGGAGGGCGGAATGGGTAGAAGGCAGCCTGGAGCTGGAGCCAGAGCCCTGTGTGCTGGGGCAGGAGCTGCCTGGCCGCAGCTTCTCCCCTGCCTAGAACGTTGCAGCAAGAGGAGGAGCCGCCACTGGGGCAGCAACCGGGCGTCTTCAGTCACATCAGGAGCAGCCCTGCTGGAAGCTGTGCATGCTGGCCAGGGCTGACAGGCATGGGCAGGTGTGCAGCGCTGGCTGCCCCAAGTGGGGCTTGGCCTTATGCTCAGTGCCACAGGGGCAGCCATGGGCTGGATCCAGACAGTTGGTGAGTTGAATCTGGCCTGCATGCTGTATTTTGCCCACCCCATTGTAGAGTATAGCTTGAACTTTGCCATCCAGTATAGAACTACCTGCAGATCAACCTTTCTGCCACCCCCTTATGTTCCTAGTTTTCATGCTTTTAAAAACAACCAACAGAAGGGGGAAGATGCCCAACAACTATTGACCCAAACATAATTGTGTTTTTAACCTTCATTCAACTTGAAAACGGAAAGTGATGAAAAATTAGATTTTTTTTCAGAGGCACGTAATTTAATATTATTAGTTACTGAACTAGTGTTCCTGACGTTACACATTTGAAACATATATGAATCATTCAAATTATAACATGGTATTATTGCTCTAAGAATAAAGACCCATGCCAGGAGGCATAAGAAATGTTCTATAACATAGTATTTTATAACTCAGTTTGTGACCATAGTGGGGGAAGGCCCCAACTGTAGGCAAGCAAAAATCTGTAAAAACTACATGCAACCTGTTGCCAGATATGTTTGTTATCTTTTAAGAACAGAATAATTCTGTAAAGGAAGGCTGCAAAATGTGGCAGTAGAAAAAAGGTTGCCC